GTCATCCCAAAAATTTTAGCCCATGTGGGCTCTGGGGACGCATCCCCACCTCTATCGGCACAGCAGTCCGAGGAGGCAGCACGGATCGCATTCCGCGCAATGAACATGCCATGCCCATCCGACTTAGCACCTGACGAAGGGCAACCATACCGCCTGTCACTCTTGCATGCTCTGGCAACCGCATCCAATGACCCAGACCTCAAACTAGTGCATCTGCTGGCAGAAGGCGTGCCAACAGGGGCTTTGTCCGAACTGCCACGTAGCATGCAGTGGCCGCCCAAACCTCAAGCAGACCTGCCTAGTGAGCTCACCGAGTGCATCGGCAACTGGAAAGCCGCAGAAGCGGAACCAGAAGTGGTATCAGCCTTGCTGGAAACGGAAATTTCAAACGGATGGGTAGTTCGAACCGGCATGTCCATAGAACAAGCCAGACAGCATTGGCATAAAGGCATAGCAGTGGGAAAGCTCAACGTTGTGCATGCAGAAGGCAAGGACCCACGCCTAGTCTTAGACAGCACAGTATGTGGGGTGAACCCCAAGTGCGCAATTCCGGAACGCATAAGCCTGCCAATGGCATCAGACGTGCGCCTGGCATTCCTCCCAGAGGACACGCATTCGTCCTTTGTGGGGGCAAGCTTTGATTTCAAAGCAGCGCACAAGCAGATCCAAGTGCACCCCAGTGAACATGGTCTGCTCCTGTTCCGCGTCGCAAACACCCTGTACCATTACAGGGTATGCCACTTCGGAGCACGCTTCTCAGCATACTGGTGGCAGCGCACAGGAGCATTCCTCCTGAGGCTACTGCACGGGATTTTGGCACTGCACCCACACCGTGCATGGTTGTTTGTGGATGACCTATTGGCAGCGCTGCATCGCAGTGACGCGCACGCACAGCTGGCACTCATGGTCGTTTTCTTTGCAGGTGGAAAAAGGTGCAATTCCAAGACAGCCTCACGTGGTGTGGGTGGCGCATTAATTTCCTGCATGAGACCATCGAACTCACACCGGAAAAAACCCTAAAATTGAAAGGGCAGCTGCATGAGCTGCTCAAAGCGGGGAGAGTCAAGCGCAAACTTTTGGAGCAGGTTCTAGGCCTGCTCATTTGGGCCACCAGTCTGAGCCCCGAACTCAGATCCTGGCTGGCTCCTTTGTACACGGACTTGCATTCACCGCCGGGTTGCATGATCTCCGTCCATGCGCGTTTGTGGCCGTCCTTTCTTTCAGCATTGGACACCAAAGCCGTGCTCAAATCCGCCGTGCGCGGCATCTTCATGCCTCAGGGCTCGAAAGTTATCGAGTTCCAGGGAACATGCATTCGCACTCCAGCTGACCTCCCACGCGTTGTGCCCAGTCACAAATCTGCCTGGGTCCGCGTCGCGGACGCATCCGCGGAGCACACTCGCTTGTCCAAGATGAGCAAACATGGCGTACAATGGTTGCTTCAATGCTTCCACTTGGACCTCGCATGCCCACTAAGAAGCAAGCCAATGCTGGCATGCAAAGCAGCCGCAGATGCCTGCGCCGAGGGCAATATCGTGGGCATAGGGGGCTGGTTCATCAGTAGAGGCTCCATCTCCTGGTTCGCAGAAACTTGGAACTTCCAGGAAGTCCAAGAGCAGTGGCCATGCCTCACCAAAGAAGCCCAACGCTACATCGCATGCTTCGAAACCTTGGCTCAACTGGCACTCATGCGCATCGCATGGTCCTGCGAGGGACAAAGCGTGCATGGCATTTGCATGCCCACAGGGACAGATAACACGGCCTCCGAGGCCGGCGTTAATAAACTGTTCACCACGGCATGGCCATTGCAGATGTTTGTGCAACTTGTGGCTGCCTGGGCCCACAAGCACAAATGGTCCGTGATCGCATCACACATTCCAGGAGAGCACAACATCTGGGCGGACCAGCTAAGCCGAGGCAATACCTCCGCTTTCCAGACTCGGCCGCATGCCCGAGTGCGCTTCAGGCCGCATGACTTCTGGCCTCACACATCAGCTCTCACGCTTCACCCTGCGGACGCACCGTGGCGACCCGAGCACAGGGCAGCGTCGCAAACGCACTAAAGAGGGGGTCAGGTGATTTAACCGTTTGCTTAGAACCCTAAAGTGGGGGCATTCCGACAGGCTCCGCATGAGGTGCAGGAAGATGGAGTGGACGCGCATCGTCACTCCACCTGCATCTCAGAGCCTGCACTTCTAAGCAACGCTCAAAAGTAAAAAAGCGCGTATCGAGTCTGCATCGGTCGAGGGCTTTTTCCTTGCATGTCCCATTAGGCTTGAAGCAGTGATCAAGATAGGGGTTTTTCTTTTCCCCTGTGTTTTAATCTTGGTTGAATCTTCGGCCGCGTTGCCGTTTCTGCTTCAAGCCTTTTGGTAAGAGACATGCCTTGAGGGTTTGACCCCTCTCGCTCATTTTTTGAGCCCACCCTCCCACCCTTTCACGGCCAAGGTGGACACGCATTTCCACCAGGCCTGATTGCTAGACTGCTGAACACGCATTGTTGGCAAGTTCTGTAGCATCAAGCATTTTGTCGGCTGGCTGCATCCCGAAGGATCGGCTTAGCCTATGCAGTGAGGCCTGATTGCAGCTTGCTGAACACGCACTGTTGGCAAGCCTCCCGCATTAAGCATGTTGTAGGCTTACAACATTCCGCCACAAGCAGTTTAAGCCTAGGCAGTGAGGACGCATTCCTCGATGGCTACACCAGCTGGAGCCCATGCAGCAAGGACGCATTCCTCGTTTGTCATATAGGCACATTGGGCATATACTGTGCACGCGTTGCACATTAACTGACATGAGGACGCATTCCTCGTGGGCCATGCCAGTTTCAAGTGAGGACGCATTCCTCGCTTGCCACATAGGCACGTTGGGCTTATACTGTGCACGCGCTGCACATCGCTGACATGAGGACGCATTCCTCGTTGGCCATGCCAGTTTCAAGTGAGGACGCATTCCTCGCTTGCCACATTGGCACGTTGGGCATATGCTGTGCACGCGTTGCACATCGCTGACGTGAGGACGCATTCCTCGTTGGCTATGCCAGTTTGAATCTGTGCGGTGAGGACGCATTCCCCTTTTGCCACACAGCACACTTGGCATGTACCGTGCACGCACTGCACATTGCTGACGCATGATCAGCACTGGTGGCGCCCCACCATGAGTAACGATGCCACTGGCATCCTGTAGGACCAGCCTGGTCCGCGTCAAGAGGACGCATTCCTCTCAGGCACACGGATGCACGCACTGCATACCGGTGTGCTGAATACCTCCTGTTTGTCTCACACCCCATGGGTAAAACACCCAGTGTGATGGTCGAACACGCATGTTGACCTCAGGGGGCATTCCGACAGGCTCCGCATGAGGTGCAGGAAGATGGAGTGGACGCGCATCGTCACTCCACCTGCATCTCAGAGCCTGCTCTTCTAAGCAACGCTCAAAAGTAAAAAAGCGCGTATCGAGTCTGCATCGGTCGAGGGCTTTTTCCTTGCATGTCCCATTAGGCTTGAAGCAGTGATCAAGATTCTAACTTTGCAAAGTAAAGGAACTCGCGCAGAGGCGCCTGCGTAGAGCAACATGCGCAGAGCAACTTTCGCAGCGGACTTGCGCGGGCAACTTGCACGAAGCAACTTGCACAAAGCACTTGCGCAGAGAGACGTGCGCTGACAGAGCATCGTGCACAGAGGATTTGACCAAAGCAACATATGCGTAGAACAACTTGCGCAAAGCAATGCGCGCAGAGAAGCTTACACAGAAAGAGCTGCATGGGAAACAATGCTTTCGGGCCAATCGTCCTCTACTTAGTTTGTTTTTTTTTGCGGGGCCCAATCCAGGGTATGAAAGGTCATTGGGGGAGATCTGCTCCAAAGCCATGTTCACCGGTCCCCAAGAACACTCCAAAGCCCATCGTTTGGACATTGGCCATGCCAATCTGACTGAGTGATTGAGGGCTTCTGTTTCCCTTTCCAAGCATCTCCAACTTACCTTGATATCGCTTTGCTGATCCCTGTGCAGAATTGTTGCCTGGGCATCGCAAGCTCATTTGGGCGAAGCCACGGGACAGGCATTTCTTTCCCATGCCCGCGCAGCGCCACAGATACTTGCAAGCGTGCAATGTCCAGGTGTGTCATGTGATGAGAAGCCTGAAGTGAGAATTGGTGCAAAGAACGGCTTGGTTTGCACATACAGTAAGCCCTGAGAAGCAAGTTCCCGCCCTGCGTGTGACACACGCTGTAAACCAATACCATTTAATTTGAGTTTGTCTTGCCCCTTTTGGAGGTTGATTTGAAGGGATACTAGAGAGTAAAGGCCCAACTTTCGGCGCACCTCAAAAGAAGGCCAATCTCATATACTAACTTGCGATGACCATGTCAAGGGCAGTCATGGACGGGCCAAGATGTTGGGCAGTGCCGGTGAGGCAACATGGCACTGGCTTCTCAGGCGAGTCATCTTGCTGTGAACCTGGTGAAGTGTTCCTGAGCTATGTAATGTGCCCGAGACTGGCATTCTTCGCTATTTCTTTCAACACCCAGGCAATGTCGGGGTCTAAATAATTACTACAACATTCTCTTCACATCCGCTTGTAAAGTAGTTTTAGGGAACCCCAACCCCCTGTTTCATTTATTTAAACCCCTACATCACCCACAGCTTCAGAAACGAGTAAGCCGAGTAAGCATGCAAAGGCAAAGATCCACGGTATCCAGTGCTGCGCTTGAGCCACGTTTGAGACTGAACAAGGGGCACACTTTGGGGAGGCCTCTAATTTGCCGGTTATCCAGCGGATGAAAAAGCACCTGAAAATATGTCTACAAGCCTGCGATTCCCTTCAAGGCAATCTGCTAATTTCAACAGCATAAAAAGGGGTGTGCCTTTTTAACTTGACACTTGAGAGTTTTGAGCGCTCATTTGTGGATTTGCCTTGCTGTTGAGGTACCCCAAAAAGCAAATTGGCAATGCTTTCCTCTCAGCTTCCTCAATGGCTTCCCTTTGCTGCACATTGGCAGGATTTGCTAACCGTTATGCTTGGCGAGCTGCAGATGTTCATGAGGCGGGATTGCGCGGCGGGATATTGATTTTTGCAGAGACATGTGGGGGCGGGTGATTATTACTTTGGTCATTCACGTCCTTCAGTTGTTTGTGCTGCATTTTGCAAATCTATGACTCTATGGGAGAGTTGAGGTCCATGTGTTTGAATTCTTACTGGATCTTTCATCCTTCATCCTTGTTACCGCAATCATCATGCCAGGAACTCAGAGCAGCGACATAGGGAGATTTGATCAGTGAGCAGTGTTGCAGGTGCAGCGCTGAGACTCAGCGGAACTGATAGCACATGGCCTGCCCTAAGTTTGCTGTCGCTTTTTTGATTTATCTCTAGACTTTGAAGTTGTTCAACTCGATTGTGTGCCTCTACACTGACAAAAGGTGATTTGCATTCTACTATTGTGCGGGCTAGTAGTTTGGGCGGTCGGAGTCCCGGAGAGCTGCAAGACACTCCGGAATGGAGGCCATGGCATTATGCGGTGGTAGCATGGAAACCATTTAAGGGAGCCAGGGCCAGTTTGGAAGAGTGCCCAACATGTTGACGTGTTTGTTCCTAATTTTCGCAATAAATCAAATTATTAAATGGGTTTGGGTGGATTCCCTTCAAACTCCTACCAGTTTCAGCATCCCATAGCCTTGGCGCTGGATGCGGAGTGGAATCCCACCGGGTGCCACCCATCCACCAGTTTCAACATGCCAGAGGCTATGTAACACACATGTTGGATTCCTCGCATCCCCAGCATCCCCAGCAAACAGGAAAATCGGCCCAGCATCCCCGGGACCCCCAGCATCCCCACTTGGCCAGTCCTTTTGCGCACCAACCGACCCCTCTATGGCCATTTCCGGCCATACTTGGCCAGCCCTTTTGCGCACCAACCCTGTATGGCCATTTCCGCTTCCCAAGGTGATTTTGGCAGAAAACGGCCATACTTGGCCAGCCCTTTTGCGCACCAACCCCTCTATGGCCATTTCCGCATCCCAAGATGATTTTGGCAGAAAACGGCCATACTTGGCCAGCCCTTTTGCGCACCAACCCCTCTATGGCCATTTCCGCTTCCCAAGGTGATTTTGGCAGAAAACGGCCATACTTGGCCAGCCCTTTTGCGCACCAACCCCTCTATGGCCATTTCCGCATCCCAAGATGATTTTGGCAGAAAACGGCCATACTTGGCCAGCCCTTTTGCGCACCAACCCCTCTATGGCCATTTCCGCTTCCCAAGATGATTTTGGCAGAAAACGGCCATACTTGGCCAGCCCTTTTGCGCCCCAACCCCTCTATGGCCATTTCCGCCCTTTTGCTTCACCAACCCCTCTATGGCCATTTCCGCTTCCCAACGGAAACGCAATATGGCAGAAAACGGCCATACTTGGCCAGCCCTTTTGCGCACCAACCCCTCTATGGCCATTTCCGCTTCCCAAGATGATTTTGGCAGAAAACGGCCATACTTGGCCAGCCCTTTTGCGCACCAACCCCTCTATGGCCATTTCCGCTTCCCAAGATGATTTTGGCAGAAAACGGCCATACTTGGCCAGCCCTTTTGCGCACCAACCCCTCTATGGCCATTTCCGCTTCCCAAGATGATTTTGGCAGAAAACGGCCATACTTGGCCAGCCCTTTTGCGCACCAACCCCTCTATGGCCATTTCCGCTTCCCAAGATGATTTTGGCAGAAAACGGCCATACTTGGCCAGCCCTTTTGCGCACCAACCCCTCTATGGCCATTTCCGCTTCCCAAGATGATTTTGGCAGAAAACGGCCATACTTGGCCAGCCCTTTTGCGCACCAACCCCTCTATGGCCATTTCCGCTTCCCAAGATGATTTTGGCAGAAAACGGCCATACTTGGCCAGCCCTTTTGCGCACCAACCCCTCTATGGCCATTTCCGCTTCCCAAGATGATTTTGGCAGAAAACGGCCATACTTGGCCAGCCCTTTTGCGCACCAACCCCTCTATGGCCATTTCCGCTTCCCAAGATGATTTTGGCAGAAAACGGCCATACTTGGCCAGCCCTTTTGCGCACCAACCCCTCTATGGCCATTTCCGCTTCCCAATATGATTTTGGCAGAAACGGCCATACTTGGCCAGCCCTTTTGCGCACCAACCCCTCTATGGCCATTGATTTTGGCAGAAAACGGCCATACTTGGCCAGCCTTTTTGCGCACCAACCCCTCTATGGCCATTTCCGCTTCCCAAAAAACGGCCATACTTGGCCAGCCCTTTTGTACACCAACCCCTGTATGGCCATTGGCCGGCCAGGCCCACACATGTGTTGTTTCTTGCCTGTGATTTGTTGACTCTGTTTCTCTGTCTTGGCGTTTTTTCTGATTTCCGAATCATTGCGGATTCCACGCATTTCTTGCTCGAGTTTTATTCTTCTCAGGTATGAGTCTCGGCACATGTATGAAGATGCACAGCCAAAGACTGGCTGACAGGCTTCCTGCTAACTTGAGAGCATTGTTCTAAGTTGCTGGTTGTTGTGAGTTGGTGGGGCCGGGCCACATACCCTACAAGAGGAATCCCAACTTTTGGTAAATCCCAACATTGGAGATATTCAAGAGATAGTAGTTAGTTTTACAAATGGGGAAAAGTGGACGGTGCTCATTTGTGGGCTTGTCGCGATTTGTTGTTTAATTGAGATGCCCCCATCCAATCAAGCAACGTTCCTTGTTTTTGCGCTCAGTTGAAGTTGACCACGCAGAGCCAGGGTCTGGCTGTGAATGTAAGCTGTTTCCCAAGGTTTGCAGCGGGAAAGGGGTTGCGTGTCTTGTCCTTTTCTAGACTTATGGTGACTTACAGGCAGGGTTGGGCAAACATGGTCAAGCATCCTTATCCTTCCTACTTCCCATGGCTCTCGTTTGAAGGGAAACCTGAAACCAGCACATTTGTTTGTTTGAACAAGGCGGAGTTTAAACACCTTTAAACATGTTGTCGGCGCAACCCTACTTACAGGTCACTGGCTGCAGTCGGAAATGTAGACTCCCCCTGGCGGTTGCGTTCCTGAGACGAAACTCACGTGAGGTTTCCGAGGGATTGCCACGGCTGGGTGTGGTTAATGATGCTTCGCCATAGTCTGTAACAAACAGTTAGCACACTGATGCATGCAGTAGTTGGTACAGTTTCCACCACCGGTATCTAATGGTGATACATGGTGATACCAGTTATGAGCTTTTTGTGTCAACTGTGCGTGAAGTGCTAACTGTGTGTGTGTGTGACCCAGAACCGGCGGTGGTCAAGCTCCAAAGAAAGTGGGGTTACTCTGACACAAAGCCTAACGTTGAAGGATGTGTTCATTCGCGCAGAACTGCGCCCCAAAACACAAACATGCATGTCAAGTTGGCTGGACATTGTGGTGTGTGTGTTTTGCTCTTCTACTCCAACTTTGGATCGATTCCACCAACAAGTTGCCCAAACCTGCCTTTTCTTACCAGCGGAGTGGGTGAACATTAAGCTTTTTTCTTGGGGCTTATCCCTTTACTTTAGAGCCAAACAAAGCTTGAACTGTTTTTCACCAGTCAACTCAGGTCAGTTTTTCTTGCAACCTCCCCTTTCCAGGTGTGAACAGCCCAAAGCCCGCAGGACGGCGGTTTGGTGGGTCGGCTCTGGTCCAACCTGCCCAGCACCCTCACGGAGATCGCGGCAACCCTTCAGATGCGCCAGGAGTCCAGGCGCATCCACGGCTTCCCTAAAAGTGAGGCAAATGAGCCGCAAACCACCGGGTTCCGTCTATTTTCCCCGTTTTGGGTCTGAAAACCACCTTTTGGACCATAGAGGAAGCTCCCTCTTAATTATGGGGTGGTTTTCCAAAGAGGAAAATAAGGAACCCTGACAAACCACCGGTAATTTACAGAGTTTGCATCATTCCCCAGTTGTCAACTTTTAGGGAATCAACGGTACCTTGCAAGATGGGGGCGGTTGCCACCGAAACATGCTTACACATCTACTGTTCCCGTTAAAGGGAACCGGAAACTGGTTGTTTAAACCGAGTTTTGCCTAACCCTGCCCAAAGGGGCCTTTTTACTTCATTCATTGTCCCTAAATATTGCTTTGTTGGTAGAAGGGGCACGATGTGTTTTACCCAGACAGGCTGGCATATGACCCAGTGGTGGCAACACAACTGGTCAAGTTCCTCTCTTGTCCAGGCACAAAACATGTTCGATGTTGCTTGCAGCTTGTCACGTCTCTCCCCTCGGGCATCTCGTCCGCCAGGAAGCTGTGGATCACCGAGAGCATCGTCTTCCGGGGCAAGCTGAAGAAAGCTCGCCGCCTGCGCGTGAGGGAGATACAGGCCAACCAGACGCAGATCCTCTCGGCAGTTGAAGGCGGGGAACAGTTCAGTGTGGGCCGCACTTGACGGGCGCATTTTACCGCTGATTTCGGGTCTGTGTTGCATGTTCTTACACCACCATAGGTTTCAACATACGACGTCGCCCGCAAGGGTGTCAGGGTTGGGTTTTAGGCTTTGGGGGCTTCCGTTTTTGAATGGTTTCGGGTTTTAGGATCTGGGGGTTTTGGGTTTAGGGGCTCATGTCTAGGATTCAGGGATGAATCATCAATGAACCATGCACTTGGCTAGTGCCTGAAGTGTCGCCCACAGGGGCTTAGGGTTGGGGTTTAGGGTTTGAGGGCGTGTGGGTTTTTGCGGTGTGGTTTGGGGTTTAGGGTTTAGGGGTTCGATTTAGGGGCTTGGGGTCTGGGGTTGAATCATGCACTTGGTGCCTGATGAAGCCTATAACCATTGCGCAGAAAAAGCCCGGGGTCTAATCCCAGAATTGGGCCCCATTTTTCGGGCTGGGCGGGACGGAAAGTGCCGGATTTGCCACACCTGCCACGGTTTTCAATTGTTCGGGCGGGGTCAATCAGGGGTGCCGCGGGCAGCACGTACGTTCCAGATATTGCACATAGGTGTGGGTCAAAACATGGATGTCTCTTTTGGGATTGGACCCCTGGTGGTTTAGTGGCAGCTGGTAGCTTTTGGGGGCCCTCTTTGGGGGGACCAGGGTGAAATGGCCAACGCGGGCTTGTTGCTTTTGTGAGGCACTAAAATGGGCGGGGGATGGCGGATCGTTCGGTTTCCCACTAGTTTTCCGCGTTCAAGTCAGAACACCACAAGGGGGGTACTCCGAAAACGACAATCCCATGTTGGGAACTTTGACTATGGAATTTCCCAAACGTTGCTGGTTGCACTAAACTGCACCCAACATGTCCATTGGTCCCTAATAAACATCCGCGGCCATATTTGTATGTTTTTGCTACTGTTAGGAACCCTCTTTTTGGATGGTTTCAACGGGGATTTGGAGGACACCACTTTGGGGGCTCCTCGAAAAAGACAAGCCCATACTGTTGATGGACGAAACCCTGCATCACCACAAAGAGGGAATCTACTGTAAATGCCAATAGATTGGGGCGAAACCCGTGGTTTTCCCAGGTGCAGGATTTCAGATGACACACAAAAACATGTTGTTTGTGGGTGGTTCCCGGTGGTTCCCCCTTTAGTTTCGTGGATGCCAAAAAAGGTGTGCGCTTTTTATTGGCTGGCCACTCGGGGGGGGGGTGAGGTTTTTCAAGGGCACCATGTCGGCCAGGCTGTTCCTGTCTGGAGCGCTGGAGCTTCTTCCTCTGGAAGCGGCTCCGGCCAAAGCATTTGGCCTTCACAGGCGTGTGGTGATCTGGGAAATAATTACAAAATATACAACCTAAAAAATCTCACTAAGCACAAAAACAACAACCCATGTTTTTGTTTTGTATATTTTTTGGATTGTTTTTATTTTTAGAGGATTTTTATTAGGGACCTCCAAAAAGATGGTTGGTGGACACTAAACTGCAGCGGATCACGATGTCCACCAAAGGGTCCCTTTCATAAAAATCCAGAATCTGGGCTTGCTTTTTTTGGGGCGTACCCCGGGGTGTCATGTTCACGAAGTGTATTGCACATTTGTCAATTACAGCAAGCACTTAGACCTGTCCATGTGGTGACACGAAGTTAGTCCGTTCGAGTACAGATGAATGGTGGTTTGTTTGGCAACACGACATACCATTGCATGTGTTCACCTATTTGACACTAGATGCTTAGTTGGCAGCATGCCTGAAGCAACACAAACTTCTTTTCTTGGCTCGGTATGCGCTCTTCGACATGGAATGCACTAGTACGCCATTGCTGGCAGGTTGCGCGGAGGACACTGACGGCCTTTCTACTAATCTTGGTGTGAACATGACTGGCTTCTCGTCTGGCAATGGGCTATGTGGCAGGCTTTTGTTGTTTGCATCGACGTCGAGAAGTTGGCTTCCAGCCGTTGTGCCTGCGGGACCCTTTACAGCTGCAGCTGCCCATTGTCCTGACATGCAAATGGTCAAAACTCAGGTGCCTCTTTTGGGGCTTGAACTCCCCTAGTTTACAGGATGTTCAAGGTAAAGTTGGGTAGGGGGCCGGGGTTTCCACCCACTGCAAAATATACTTACCTGCTGATTTGATGAGTTTTTAATGTTTTGTTGGCGGGGCGCCCAACAACTTTGAGCTTGATGTTCAATGCAGCAGGTCCGAATAACACAACGCCTTCGTAGCAGGAGCCCAAGCTGGAAAAATCTCAGCAGCCAAAGAAGCTGTGTTACTTTGTCTGCTGGCTGCGAGCAACAGCAGTTACTATAATACTATAACGTACCCAATCAAAATGCCTGGTTGTATTCACTGGCTTGAATGTGATCCTGCTTTTTGGATAGTATACCCTCGGTTTTGGTGTTGGTTTGAAGGGAAGCCATGTTAGCAAGCCAGAACCATTTTGGGAACGAGACAAGCCCATTGCAAGCACACAGGCTTTAGCTGCATTATGATCATTATGCTATTTTTGCAGTGCACGATTCACGATTCGCTTATGTTCAACTGGGATGTTGAGTGGTGCATAAGTTCTCGTTGTCTCCGCAGTGGTGTCCTACTCAAGTATGTTGTTTTCTTTCACCAAGACCTGAGTCAAGCAAGAGAACAAACCACGGAGCACTTTTCGGTGGCCTTACTGCAGGGCATTTACAAGCAAGCTCGCGCAATGTGCCAGATTCAACGGCTTTGCCGCGATGATGACTAGGTGTGAAAGAGGATTCCGCTGCACAGGCCACCTGCATTCACAGAGTCACGGATTAGCTTTCGAGATGGAATGGCAGGGGACAAGGTGGAAGAGTAGAACCTGTGTTTGGAATGAGGGACTTGTTTGCATAAATGTGACTGCTTGATGTTTGCTTAAATGAGACTGAAAGCACCGTGTTTCCATTGTGGTTCAACAGCTTTTCGGACATGATTGTGGCTCACTACAGGGCTGTGTTCCATGGTGAGAAAGTGTGCGATTCACTTGGCGAAACTTCGCTTGATGTAGCGTTTCCAGTATGATTCAATGCCTTTTCGGATATAAGTGTACCTGAAACTATGTTCAATATATGTAGCGTTGCAGTGGGGCAACTTCTTCGTGCCACTTAAAAGCACTTTGCCGAACGCAGCGTGTCCAGTGTGATTCAACGAACATGCTGTGACTTAACACGCCCTGCCATGACTTATATAACACGATCGGCGCGTTTCCAAGCGGATGCTAGGACTTAACTCCAGATGCTAGGACTTAACCCCGCCACTCGTATTCTTACAAAGCCTCACTGTTGAGAGCTGGCAAGAGAAAGGACAGAGCAGCGTACATCACGGAGGTGGCATAGATGTCCTGTTGTTGTATATGTGTGTGTGTTTCCTTTTCACTAAGGGACGTATCTTGTTGATGGTCCCACGTGCCGCTGGCCATGAGGTAGTCCGTATGATGGTGTGTGCCAAGTGCAGCAGGACTCGGGCAAAAGCACTGGAATATGGGCATGTTATTGTTTGATGGGGGGGCTTTGTGGGTTGGTTTCAAATTGGTGGCAATTTAAGGCAGTTCTCAAAAAAGAGAAACTCCCGTTGCAGCTTGGCCCAGTGCGCACCAAGCATGATGGCGTTGGGATCATTGGGCCACTCAGGATTGTATTAAACAACAATAGATTCCCATAATATTTCCTCTTGGATTTGGTCACCTTGACGACAATAGCTTTCGTATTAAATAGAACCATATAGGAGTGTTTTATGGCAGCTTTCAAATTTCAATACCAATAGATCCATCAAAGAACTCTCTTGTTAGGTACAGTAGTGTCGTTCGATTTGGGCGACCACAGCTTTCAAGTTCAATATATCCATCGGGAAGATGCTAGACTTGCTGTGTGTGTGTGTCCATAGTGCGGTGAAAGGCTTCACATTCAATGAATCCATTAGGCAGTTCTTGTTGGATGTCGTCATTTCGAGGACAATTAGATCCATCAGAGCGGTGTTGGTCTGATCATTGTAGCGCTGATGCAGGGAGCCTGCCATTGTTTCAGCTACTCGTACAGAAGGGCTGAGCACGTCCTTGAGCAACACATCGGCCCAGATGTTCTGAAAGGGGCATGGAGAAGATACACAGCGGACCTTCTGAACCTTCTGCAAAGCTTGGAGAAACACTTTGTATGTTGTTGCCATTGGAGATTCTACACATTATGTATGTGCGATGTTTGTGTGTTTCGAAGCTAGACCTGGATCCAGTCCTGTGATCTACAGTGAACTCAGTGAACCAGAAAGCTCGCTGAATGGGTATGGTTCGAATGCTAGCATACTTAAAGTACAGCCAAAACGATGGATAAAACATCACTCACTTCATCAATAAGAATTCTTTATGTGTCAGCGGTGTACGTGCAACCAGTCGCACCGGATTCCTGCTCAGTTTCTTGTAGGCATTTTCTTCACTCTGCGGCCTTGAAAGTGCAGTCAAAAGCCTGAGAAAGAAGTTGCGCCATCGACTTAAGGGGATGCTGTCGAGCACTTACTGGATTTAAGGAGCTTGTTGTATGAGGAGCAACCATGCTGAACATGAGCTGGGTAGCGCAGCAGAGATTTCGACCATCAGCACCGGAAGCACCTAGATGTTATTGACAGACACCAGCCACTGGTGCTTGAACAGGTGCGCGCTTCCGTCACGCCAGGACAAGCATTCGGTGCTGTGGCTTGGCCTTCTTGGGTCACTCGCGACGAGTTGAGGGCAGCCCAGGGCTTTCACAGGTCAAGGCGTGGCGATGCCGCAGAGGTGTTTGGCAGTGTGTTTCGACCTATGGAGTCATTGCGGCCTTTTGACGCTTCGATGATACTTGTTGGAAATGCCAGGGTGCTTGATGAAGGTCTAGGTTACTCAGGCCGAGCCCTGGGCGGTATTTTTTCCAGATTCCCTTTAAAGCCACCCCCAAAGACGATTACCTCAACGCAAACCGGTAGAAAGCATGGATGCTGCGCTGGAGCCGCACCCGGGGATCCCCTCATCTCGCAGCCGTCCACGTCGCCCATTGTGACAAGGTCTTGTGAGCTCTTCCAAAAGAGGAGAATCAAAACACAACACTACGGTGGGCTGGCTGGCTGTTTGGGATGACATGAGCAGGGGAGAGTTTGCTTACCTTTGTACCAATGAGCAAATGAGGAAACAGGAGGTTTCCATTCAGCAGCCAGCTTCGCACCCAATGCTGTCGTGATGCCGTTGTTCAAGAACTCAGGAACTGCGAGCAGAAGTATGCCGCCTGCGATCCAAAGGATGGGGCAGAGGGATAGAAGGTTTGCGTGTTGGTGAGGGGTGACAGGGAAAACAAATACACGTTTTGCTGTTTTGATGTGGGCAACTCCTTTTGCAGGAGCAGACGGATTGAATTTGAAGGCTGCACTGATTTACAGTGTACAGTCATGTCTTTTTTTTCCAGCAGCAAGCTCTATGATTTTGAGAACAAAGAGTGAGTGCCTCACCATTCCCGGAACAGAAACCGGCTTTTGGATGAATGCAACTCACGTGCCTCAAAGCCGACCTTTGAACCTTTTGGTCTTGCCAAGTTCCCTTTAGTCTAGGTGAGGTACCAAAAGGTCAATCTTTTATTTCCAGGTCCTTGACTCACTTTCTGAAAGCTGACCTTTTAACCTTTTGGTTTTCCAAGTTCCCCTTTAGTTTAGTGGAGGTTCCAAAAGGTTAACCTTTTATTTCCAGGTCCTTTGGGCAAATGAGTTGAGGCAAGTGAGGAGGGCATCGTCAGGAATCTCGCAGTAGGCAATCGGATGCAATCGGCGCATCTTGGATTCCTCGTTCAGGGCTGATTCGTAAAAACATGGAGCACATTCGCAATGGCGTGTCGACAATTTCGAGTAATTTAGCTGGGGCCTTTTGCCAGCCCATACCTCGCTACCCAAGACAATATATACACACGCATTGAAAGAAAATATGTGTGGGAAGGCAGAATGGAACCAAATGCTTTCTGATTAGTCCCCTCCCCTACCCGGAGGATCCAAGTAGCGCCTATGTTATAGTTATTTCGCGTTGATTTGGGCCCTAAGTGTCATCATAGAAGCTATATGTACTTGGCTACTCTAGGCTGTGCTAGGATGAGTGAATTGTTGAAGGCTAATTATCCGGCTTAGCGGTTCCCCCTCGACTCAAAGATTGCTGAAGGCCTTGGAAGACCCACACATCCAGGTGGAAGACACACGCAAAGTTCGGGGTAACACTGGCAAAGGTTCCAATGTTTTGTTTTGCTTAGCTCGCAGGCAGAGCGCGTGAAGCCCAAGTTCATGATCTATCGTTCCACGGACATTCTCCGTGCCGACGCTCGGTTGTGCAGAGGTTTTGTGCACGTCGTGAAGCAAAGAGTCGTGACAAAGAGCGGTCCCGAAACTGGGAGGGTGTCCTTTTGTTTTTCTTTGAACAACCACCAAAAAGATGTTCAGGGGTCACCCCTAGTTTGTAGCTTCCTTTAAAATTTTAAACTGCCAGAGTGCAGTTCCAAAAGAGGTTTCCCATGGTTTCCCCACTAAAGCAGTCTTTGGTTGGGGGTTTTCCCAGTTTAAAAGTGCACTCTGGAGGATTCCCTAGGGGGGAGCCCTGATGTTCCTAAGCTTGAGCCGCTCCGATGACTCCGATGTTTGCTTGGTGGTGGAAATAGGAGCGAGGCAGTGCTCGGACAATGTTAGGGTTTGTTTTTGTTTTTTGGCATGTTCAGGTTTTAGGGGGTTTGGCTGGGATTTCGCATGTCTCCCTTTTGCCGCAAGTAGGTTCCATTACAGATGGCCCGCAAAAAAAAACATGTTTTGTGTTTGCTCCCCCTTGCCTCAAGTAGATTCCCTTCGAATTGTCCCTCAAAAACTCGTTTTGTTAGTAGGTCCCCTTAAAATTGAGCCGCAAGAAAATTGCTTGTTCTTTTCCCCCTCGCCTCAAGCCCCTCAACATTGATCCGCAAGATGTTTTGACTCAGCATATGGGAGTGGAAGCATCTCAGAGCGGAAGTCTCGAAGATTGCCCACCATTTGCTTAGGTTGATTTGTGTGTTTTTTCCCCCCTTTGTTGGTAAAGGGAAACCACCACTACTGGAAACTATTTCTCATTTTTTAAAGGTACCTTAAGCACATGGAAGATTGCGATCATCCCACAAGCTCTGCAGACACACGAAGCGCCGAGTGGGTTCGACGAGTTTCAGCACGAGCGAGCAACAGGCATAACTTGCCCGGATATTGCCCGCATGTATTCGGGCGATTCCTTGGTGGAAATTCAAGCCAGCCCTGTAAAACGATATAGCAACTCCCATAAATGCATGACTGGGGTAACAGTAACTATTAATTAATAGATTATACATATATATATATATATGTGTGGGTTTGTTCTGTTTGAGGATCCCCCTCATTAATCTGGCTGGTCTTTACTAAATTACCTTTAAAATCAGCCCAAGCAACCATATACAAAAAACAACCCATTTTATATGAGCACTCACATGTTATATATACACATAATTGTACATATGCGTGAAGATACATATTATATAAATAATGTATACATGGCTTCTTTCGAAGGTTGAAACACACAAGTGCGGGCGACACTGTTCAGAACTAGAATGTGTTTTGCTGTCGTGTGAAGTGGCATTGTGTGCGTGTATGCGGTGCATCCGTGTGGTGTACAAGCGCCACCCTGTGTGTTACGTGCACGCGCGCCTGCGTGCTTGTGAGTGTGTATAATATATCAATCTATAGGTATATTATGTATATACATGTGTGTGTGGATGTCGTGTGTGCGCACCACTTATTTATGTTCATAAGAGTCAGCTTCACGTGGCGCGATAAACTGGCGTTCTGCCCTTGGATTTTCTGAGCCACATTTACATCGTGTGAGGCGGCTCCAGATGGAACCCATAGCTTTACAGCGCGCTAGATCGGACACCCTGTCAAGGCCGGTGTGTCTGCGTTTGGCAATTCAGAACGGATTAGGGCCTCTTACGGAATTTCATGTTGGTCAGCAAAACGACGGAACAGAGTTGCGCGTGACTCTGCCACACGGATGCGCCTTTTCTTTTTGAGCAGCTGTTCCATCTTGGTTCGTTCACCACATTCCTAAGATTACACCAACCTTTTGCAGCTGAGTTTACAGGGGCACCCCCCCTTCCCCCTTGATGCACCTTTTTTTAGGACCCCCCCAGACTTGCGGCTGAGGATCCTGCCCCTTGGCTGGAGAAGGGCGATGTTTTACGAGGTGAAGCGACGCGGGCAAAGCGTTGCGTGCTGCGGAAGGATGCGTGATGCTGCTGTGGTGCAGGGCTCCGCAAGAAAGATACTGCTTTGGCCCATTTGAGACATTTTTTTTTAGCTAATTGAAGGGAAACCACCATGTATAGGGTAATGTTTAGGGGGTATAATATAAGAAACCCTGTGGTGTTTTTCTCGAGGGGTATGTGTTTCAAAGGGTCCCAGCAAAAGGGGCTAGACTGAGACAGTTTGATTCTATCTCATTCGAATGTGATGATTTGGTGGCCACCACATCACACGTGAAGGGAAGAGGCAGTGCAACCGCATGTTCACAAGGTAAAACATTTGTTGAACCCACAAATGACATGAAGGTTTCAACATGGGATAATTACCACCATCCCCAGCTGTAACTTGAGGAGTTTGACGGGAAGCCACCTTTACCTTCAAGTGATGTAAACCACGTTAGGAAACGTTGGAACCGTTGGGGGTGCTGCTAGGTCCGGCTCCCGCTGCTGCAGATGGATCTCCATTTGCACGTGGCTTTGGCTGGAAGCGGCGCTCGATTTAGGGAAGCCATGTTCATTGCCCAGCAGCCAATTTTGCTCTTTTTGTTGTTGGTTGGGCTTCCCTTGAACGTCAACCAAAAAAGGGAGGTCCTTGTTCCCCTACTGGGTTGACCATGTAGATTCCTTTTGCTTGAATAGTGTTCATGTATGGAGCCAAACTATGAGAGGACAATGGTAGCGCAAGCAGGAATCAAGCGACTGTGTGCACTGAAAGCTGTGTTTTTAGTGTGTCGTGCATAAGTATATAAATTGTGGTGGTGATAGCTGCATTTGGGTGGCTGCAAATGGTACAGTCAAACAGTCAGTGAATGATACGCTAGTTCGGACAGCTAGCACCCGACGGGCATTTCGTGGGACCTCCCTTATGTGCCAGCTGTACTAGCTAGGTGTCAAGTGCTAAGAATTTGTCACCGCCATTGGGCTCCCTGGCAATTCACACATCGTGATCACGTGTTGCAGCACCGCCAGGTATCCAGCAAGTGCACGCGGTTGTTCAGGGCTTTCTTTTTGCCCATCTTGGGCCGAATAGAAGATTCAATTCACTGTGCACTACTCTGCTGAGACCCGATCGTTTCCTTTGCTAGGATGTGAAGAGGGCATGTACAATGTAGCGAGCCCTGTTGTTTGTTGGAACAGGCCATGCTGTTGGTCTTTAAAGATTACCATGGATTGTTTATTGCTCGGATCATGAGAGTGCTCAGTTTAACCGCTGGCGGCCCAAGAGCCACAGAATGTTCCGGCTTGGTCCTATCTCTCTCCCTATATCACATATTATATATGTATATACATATATATATATACTCATATATATATATATGCTATCCCCCCCCCCAAAAAAACCTAGGTTTCAGCAGTCTTCAAATGGATTGTTCAAAATAGGCATTGTGATTGAAATCTGTCCTTATTATATTCTATTGTATTGTCTAATTGAATTGTCATGACAGTCATCTTTGGAAAGGAAATCATATTCAAGTTCTAATTTGGAATATAAATTCTAAGTGAGCTGATGTTCATATACAATTCCACTAAAATTCATATTCAAGTTCTAATTTAAAATATATATTCTAATTGAACTGATTTCCTTATACAAATCCATTAAAGTTCATATTCAAGTTCTAATTGAACATCTAAATTATAATTGAACTGCTTTCCATATAAAATCCATTGAAGTTTAAAAATCAAGTTTAATTTAAATCATATTTGGGAATGAATTAATTTCCAAATGTTATGTTCACAGGTCCATTGGGTTATGTCCGTATTAAACTATATTTAAACTTGAACCATATTTGTGAATGAATTCTTATTCAATTTATATATTCAAAAGCCAATTGAAGTTTTTCCATATTAAATTATATTAAAACTCTACTAGATGTTTAATTTAACTCCTATCTGGAGAGGATGTCCTATTTAAATTCTAATTGAACGTAGAAAGTCTGGCGAACTGTGTGTACTAAGTTCTATTCAAAATTCCAATTCAATTTGGATTACAATCCTATCGGGAAAGGAATTCATATTTGGACATGTTGGAGGGCTCCGGGCTCTAAATTGTGAGGCTTCGGGGGACCAAAGATAGACATTCCAAGGATTCAGATCTCCAGATTCTAGATTTCAGGTGTTCCAAAATGGAAACTTCAAGGCATCAAAGGTCCAACATCTAATAATATTATATATATATATATGTAAGTATCAAAGCAGCAATTCAAGTTAACTTAGTTGCATTTAAAGTCTTATTTGGACAGGAAAACACGTGTCATTCTATCTCAACAGGTAGTCGATGAGCAGATGTGGAAAGGTAGTTAGTGGGGAGGTGTGAGCATACATATATACATACATATGGTATCCCCCATGCACCTGCGCCTCTTAATAAAGTACTGTAAAATACAGTGGTTTTGAGCATTGCGTCTGCCTTTTCTACCTCCTTAAAAAAGGGTAAACATGAGAATAGATGAAGCAAAAAGCTCACTAACAACAACTTTAAAGTTTGTCTAAACAACTTGAATGTTTTTCCACTGATCGCTAAACACTTGAACGCATTCTACCACTCGATTGAAGATTCAAGAATCAATATTTCACGGAAACGTTTTCCGAGAATCTTGAATCCGGGCCACCCCAAAATATGTGTTTTCCAAAAACTTGAAAGTATTTGTCCACTGGATTCAAGATTCAAGATTTCAGATTTCACTGAAAAAAGTGTTTCGATAATCTTGAGTAAAACTGTAAAACTTTTGGGCCCGTGACAAGTAAAAAGTAAAACTCCCAAAAGTAAACCGTTTGTTACTTCAGGCAGTTTTACAAAAAGTTAAAAAAAAACATGGACCCATGAAAAGTAAAAAGTTAAACCGCCAAAAGTAACACAGCTTTAGTTTGTGCACAAGCCATCTCTATGGAGGAGATAGCGGAGCAAGAATGCCTTTTGAACAGACTCGTGTCTGCAGATGCACCTGATGCCCTTTTGTTTAGCAGATATTTTCATGTGGTGAACTCAGCACACTGGGAAAAGTAAAACAGTAAAAAAGTAAAAAAGTAAAAAAGTAAAAAAGTAAAAAAGTAAAATAACTGGACCCATGAAAAGTAAAAAAGTAAAACCACCAAAAGTAAAAAAGACTAGTTGTTTTTTACTTTTCTTGGGAAAAAGTAAAAAAACCCTAGTCTGTTTTACTTTTTCCCTATAAAAGTAAAAAACCCTAGTCTTTTTTACTTTTTCCCTATAAAAGTAAAAAAACCCTAGTCTTTTTTACTTTTTCCCAATAACAGTAAAAAACCCCTAGTCTTTTTTACTTTTGGCGGTTTTACTTTTTTACTTTTCATGGGTCCAGATAGTTTACTGTTTTACTTTTTTACTTTTTTACTGTTTTACTTTTTTACTTTACTTGATTTCTGTTACTTTGTATTTGTTCCCTTGTACTACCAAAATAGAAAATCATCATTTTTCCATGGTTTTTGCTCTAGTGTCTACAAAAGCATGCATTTGGTGCAGGTAAAATGCATGTTTTTGAAGTTTTATGCTCACTGCATAAATAAGAAAACATGCATTTTTGAATGCCTTTTGAACAGACTCGTGTCTGCAGATGCACCTGATGCCCTTTTGTTTAGCAGATATTTTCATGTGGTGAACTCAGCACACTGGGAAAAGTAAAACAGTAAAAAAGTAAAAAAGTAAAACAGTAAAAAAGTAAAAGTAAAATAACTGGACCCATGAAAAGTAAAAAAGTAAAACCACCAAAAGTAAAAAAGACTAGGGTTTTTTTACTTTTCTTGGGAAAAAGTAAAAAAATCCTAGTCTTTTTTACTTTTTCCCTATAAAAGTAAAAAAACCCTAGTCTTTTTTACTTTTTCCCTATAAAAGTAAAAAACCCCTAGTCTTTTTTACTTTTTCCCAATAAAAGTAAAAAAACCCTAGTCTTTTTTACTTTTGGCGGTTTTACTTTTTTACTTTTCATGGGTCCAGATATTTTACTTTTTTACTTTTTTACTGTTTTACTTTTTTACTTTGCTTGATTTCTGTTACTTTGTATGTGTTCTCTTGTACTACCAAAATAGAAAAATCATCATGTTTTCCAGGGTTTTTGCTCGAGTGTCTACAACAACATGCATTTGGTGCAGGTAAAATGCATGTTTTTGAAGTTTTATGCTCACTGCATAAATAAGAAAACATGCATTTTTGCAGGGTTTTTGCAACTTGTTATGCATAATTTCCCAGTTTGCTGAGTCATCCCCCCCCAAAACCTAGGTTTTGGGGGGGGGGCTACCATATATATATAGGAGGTATGTATATATGTATATATGTATGTTCAGAAGATGGGCAGTGCCTGCCAAAACGCACAAACATAGAACCCAACCAGGCGCGTACTTAAAAGATATGCTTCTGTGCAGATTGTTGGGCCCCTTCAATTTTGTGCGGGGGGAGTATGGGGGAGTGTTGTGCATGCTCTCCGCACCCGACATGTCAGTACTTGCTGGGCAGGCGGGCAGCATGCACATCCTGGCAATAGCTTTTCCATTCCGCTTCCAGCCTTACAGCTCTAAAGTCTATCAGGATTCGAGGAGCAGGAGCACATAGCGCAGGAATCTCCACTTGAGCTTCTAATTTCCCCAGCTTTTTGTCACAGTTGGAAGCATCTCCGAATTGTTGGGATTTCCTGAATTTCCTTTGAAGGGGGTTCCTTACATTGTAGGTGCTTTTCCAGGTCCTTTTCATCCACTGGACAGTGATCGAACAATGCTCACTTGCTTCGAACTAAAGTTGGGCCCAGGCGATACCGTTCACCCCAGGACAACGGATGTTGTTGGCGTTTGTGCGGCATGCGCTTTAGGGTTTAGGGTTTCTGCCCACCCCAACCCCAACCCCAACTAACCTTTATTTGGCTCATCAGTCATCCCGATTTAGCACAAGGGCTGGACAAACTGCGACTTCGCAGAACCAGCCGCCAAGCCTCTTGACGCCCCTGTTCCCTTCTGCTTCAAACTTCGACTCCCATCGCCCGTAAACCACCCCCCACCCCTAACCACTTGACCCGTAATCCCACTTTGCGCTTCCCGTTGTTCTGGCCTTTCCGTGAATGACTGCCACTGATTTACTTATTATTCACTTACGCAAGTCAGACTGTTTACATTGAACAAGTAAGGCACATTGATACTCTCACCAAACAAATTGCGCATCAAAGAACAACTGTCACACTCTTCTGGATTTGGGGTTTACCAATGGCTTCTGAGTTTTTCGGAGTCCCGTTTAGGGGTCCATTTGTTGTCTCTCGACCATCCAAGCATACAAAGGCTTCCGTTGAACTTTGAGGTGCCCGATCGGTTGCGGCCTCAGGTGGACTTTAGGAATCGCCGTGCCGACTTCTGCACACCGAACTTCGCGCCCATCATGCTGGACACCAACTGGCATTGGTCCACGCACCTGAGCTTAAGAGGTTCTGCAAACTTTGCAGAGTTGCTCCGATTTGCTTGGAATGACGATGTTACGTACAAGTGTATCATTATGATTGTCAGGGAAGGGCAACCAACTACTGGAACATATGTTTTATTTGTCCAAGTACCTTAAGCAAACGGAAGATTGGCGGGTGATGTTTGCTCTTAAGCAGGAAGGCAGCGTCTCCTTGTCATGAGTGCGTTATCTCAGGGCTTGCCTGGCAAGGGGGCCAAGAGGAAGCTACCTTGCTGTATCTTAAGAGGATTTCTTATTTTTCGACTGTTTTGGTAAAGGGAAACCACCACTACTGGAACATATTTTTCATTTTTCCAGGTACCTTAAGCAAATGGAAGTTTTGGACCCTGTAGGTAAGAGCGTCATATTGGGGGGGTTTCCTGTCCGGTCCAAAAGTATCCCTTGCCACCACGTGTGATGTGGTCTCAGCCAAACCCATGAGTCTTTGCCAGGGCAGCCAAGCGCCAGTCTTTCAAAACAGCCAACTGATATATTTTGTCTGCGAGCTCAAGGTGAAGATGACATGTGTGTATGTGCCAGTGTCTTCCAATATGCGTTTCACAGCGTCCGAAACCGAAGAGGCCTCAACAGCACCTGTATTCCCGTTCGGCTCCTTTCCACTCATCCCGGGGCCTTTTTGGTAGGGCAAAGCTTCTGCACTGTGCAGGGGTCACCCCTAGTTTGTAGCTTCCTTCAAACCACCAGAGTGCACTTTCCAAATTGGCTTCCCATGGATTCCCTACTAAAGTAGTCGGGCCCAGTTCAAAAGTGCACGAAATGGGGGATTCCCTAGGGGTGACCCCTGCTTTGGGAGACATTTTTTGGTTTCCTTTGGTTTCCCCTACTGACTTGAACCCTGGGGTTTTCCAGTTACCCAAGAGGGAAACCCCTGGGTTTAAGGGGTTGACTTAATTTACAGTAGACAGCTTTGTTTACAGTTAACTGCTTTGTTTTAATGCTGGAACCCTGCTTTGGGAGGCTCGGCCACCGCGTCTGGCGAGGTTCAATTGGCTGCCCTTCGACCTGCGCCGCTCTGTGTGCTTCGGAGCTCGGATCCATCCTCCTGGGGTCAGTGTCCAAGTGACCCGATGCAGCGTGGCGCCAGGGGGGCATGTGGCGGCTGTGCGGTTTGTGGGTGCATCGGGATGCGGGGGTTCCTCCATTTTTCCTTTTTTAAACCACACTTGGACCAGGGGGCCGCCAGTTTCACTGAAAGGAATGCAACTACATGGTTGTGTGTGTGTGTGTGTTAAAAGAGGGTACCCCACCAAAATGGCTTTGGTTTCCTAACTTGCTTACCTTTACAGCCAAGCCTTTGCGCTTTGACCAGCACTCCCATGTCAATACTTACTGTGACCGAAAGCGGATCCTGAAGACAGCATGCACACAGTGCTGCGCGGCATCAAATGTGCAATCTTTCAGTTTGCCCAGAATCCAACGGCTAATACCCTTAGGTTGTATGCCATGCAAATTGCACTTGGTATCGCGAAAGTCAGACATGTCAGGCTAGAGCAACAGGCAAATTACCAGGGCTGATCTTTCCTGTATAGGCAAACAACTGAAAGGCAATTGAAAGAGTGCCATTATCGAGTGCTGCCAGGAATTAGGTGATTGTGCAACTTTTCGCGCCATCCTGTTTTGGTTGCAATGTTCGGGACTTCCAGCGCGTTTTCTGTGCGACTCCCTCGAACTGCCGTGGCAGAAGTTGTTGCTACTGCCGTCATAATAAGAGTGAAGCAGTGAAGCTTGACAATTTGTAGCGCCATCACGCGTGTTTGTTTGTTTGTTTGTTTGTTTGTTTGTTTGCTTGCTTGCTTGCTTGTTTGTTTGTTTGTTTGTTTGTTTGTTTGTTTGTTTGTTTGTGTGTGTGTTTGTCATTGTAGTTTGTGTTTCACCAGCATCACCTGCTGTGGTTAGGGGCAACTTTCTTAGTGAAGACTATCCCTGGTCCTACCCTTTGGTCATTGTCATTACTGTATGTTGATTATGTTGTTTAACGGTTGGTTACCTGTTACATCTTTACCCCTTACAAACATGTTAGTATATACTAAAACCCAAGCAGCATTTGGTGGGTGAAGGTTGACTGGGTCGTCGTTCCAATCAATCCAGCCAGGTGTTCCTCTCGTCCAACGCCACGCCTTTGGGGGGGGCATTTCTCGTGTCTCAGGCAGCCATAGCGGCTTCGGTACCATGAAGAAGCAAACCCACTCCGTGGAGTGGTCCTTCACAGGCGACTCGTGGGATGGCCTTTATGGGATTTCAAAAGTTGCTTGTGTTGTTTATCCCAGGTGATTCCACTTACCTCTATAGTTGGTAGCCAGGGATGTTGCCCTCTTCCACTTTAATGGCGGTTTCCCTTGGTAATTTGCTGTAGTCCCAGTGGTAATTGGAATCACTGGGTATGATCTTCTTAGAGATACCAGAAGGTTCCCTGGTTCACTAGGGAAGCAGTTACGAAAGAGGCAACCATTATCAACATATTTGGGTGTCGCAGAGAGTGTGCCATAGGGCCCTTAAATAGCAAGAGCAGACGGGCGCATTTGCTGGTGAACCTCTCTGACACAGCATTCATCCCGAAACTAACATGACATGGACATATTGTATACGGTCTTTCCATGCCTACATGAACACTGTGAGCTGCGGAAGCGCCGTGGAGGAACGTGGTCGGCCTGATTTCTCAACACATCATTTATGGAAAGCCTTCTATGTATGCATGTAACTATAGTGCTTGTCTTTTATGATGTTCACCCTAAACCACATTCACACGGATGGCATGTGTTCCCTTTCGAAAGAAAGACTTCCCAAAGGGTACGACACAAGAAGACACGCCCTTGAAGCCTCACGTCTTATCTTGAGATAGACCAATCCTCTCAAAGCTCAGGAGTTGCTTACCTCATCAGCCACTACAACACCTGGGGCACTGGCGACGGCGACATGACGCAGTCCTGGTTTGGTGGAAGCCGCGTGGTCTGAAATGTGTTGTTTTTTTGATGGACACCCTTTGGAGTTGGTTTTGAAGGGAAGCTATGGCCATGAGTTTTAATTAGGGAACTTCCCAACAGTGGTGGACACTAAACTGCACTTCACCATGTCCACCAAAGGGCCGCTAATAAAAAAACTATGGGTGTATGGGAAAACCATCTTTGGGGCTTCCTCGAAAAAGGACAAGCTGAAATGAGCTTTCAGACTGTGCCAGCCGGAGAGAGCCAGCCTTGACACCTATCCGACCTATCCCCAAACGCTTCTTAGAAACCTTCAAAGGACCCCTTCTAAGAGAAAGAGGGGTTAGGGATTTGCTTGGATTCCTCTACACCAACACACAGAACTGGTGGATTTGTACTTGCTGATACTGCACACTGACGTGGCTTGCTGTGCTATTTACGTCAAGTCGCGAGTGATCTCGAGTGTAAGACATATTGGGTCCCAACGTGTGTGTGTGTGTGATGACAGTCCGCAAAAGGTAACTTGAGCGGCACCTTCCCCTAGATTGAATCTGGGATCGAGAGTCAGAACTTGCAGCCTAGAAACCGTGCTTTTGAAGCTGGAATTATTCATGCTGGGTATTGAAACTGATTTGACCAAGGGTATGATACGAGTACCTTACAGAAGCTGGACGAGTCATTTGTCAACAAGGTTGGGTGCTTTTACTTGGAACGTAAGGAAGAATAGCATGTCCGTTTGTTTTCGCATGAGTCGGTTGTTGCCCAGCAGCGTCCAACATGCCCTCCTTTCTTCGTAAAAGGTTGCATGACATGCACAGGATGCTATGTTCACACACTTGGCTTCTTGTTGCTGAGCAAGCTGCTGTAAGCACCATCTCGCCCACACGAAAGAGCATTGAGGAGTATGTGTGCTTTCCGTACTCTTTGCGCTACAGATTGGCACAGTGCGCATGATGATCCATGTATAGGTATTTTCTTATCTTTGTGCCGTAGCTGTCTACGTTGCAGTCATACGTGAATACGTGTCTGTTTAGATATAGTAGCCCTAAATTCATATTTATGCATGCTGCATATATTGTGGGTAATTATAGCTCAGCCAGCTGAAGCCATCACATGGACCCTTGTTGTCCTGTGTCACCATGCACAAGGCTGGCGCAATCCCCCAAACAGTTTCAGCGTCTGACCTGCCATAGAAAGCTGACAAAATCAATCATGCCACCTGTGATCAATTGTTCGCAGAAGCAAAGCAGCAGCAGCACTTGGCATCAAATTGGATCAAATTAGTCAGAGGTCAGTGGGAAGGCTTCTTCTTGAGCGATGACTTGTCCACCCTCAAATTCGCTTGCCTAGTGCGGAGTGTAAAATGTTGGTCACGGCCACATATACAATTTATGTCATGGATCAAGGGTTAAATGCACGACATGTTTGTGTTACTGCCACTGCAGACATTGCATTCCGCCACTGGCTGGAGCACTTGCTTGACATTTGTGTGTGTGTGCGTTTGCGAGTGGCAACATGTTTTGTAACGCTGCGGCACTGCACAGGTCAAAACTGGGGGCAGAAGGCGCGGGCGTGTCCAGAAGTTCATGTACAGTAAGGTTAGTTGTGCTCCTTGCATGTGCCAGAGTGTCAGTGTAAAACACGTTCAGCAGCGCTTGAACAACCTTCAGGGGCACATGGAAAGCAACTTGTTTCCATTACAATCCGTCAAATACCCCCCATGGCCTCAATGGCTCCACATTCGTGTGGCACACTCCAAAGGCACAAACAGATACAAACACATTCAGCTGTTGTGCATTATGAGCAGTAGTATGATAAGAGAGGTGCAAGACAAGTCACAACTCATGGATCAGCAATCAGATCAAGCTGCATAGTTGTTGATCCTCCAAAGTCTTCGGAGGTCAGCCTTCTCGGACAGGGGCAATACCATGCATGATGTTGTGCGGAATGAGCCTTCGCTTTTTGTGTTCTCTCACGACATGGCAACGGCTGTTACACTGTTGGATGTATGATGAAGACGCTTGGGTTGTTTATGTGGGGGTTTCTCAGAAGTACCTTTTTGGGGATGGTTTCCTTTGGTTTCCCTTTAAAATCACCCCCAAAGGGGTACACTATTTTGAGAACCCCCCCATGTCGCGGGCCTTGTTCGGCGACGTGGGCGACCGGGGGCTTTAGGCCCAGGATGTACCCCGACACTTGCAGCGTACAGCTGTTACAGGAGTCATGTGGGTTTGTCTTTTTTTGCTTGGGACCCCCTTTTTGGTTGGTTTTTTAAAGGGAAACTAGTGGAAACCAACCATTTTGGGGTGTACGTTAAAAAAAGACAAACCCATGTGTATTGCTCATGACTCATAAAGTATCAGAATCTCAATGAATCATAGCCATCGGAATCCAAGCACATTTCCCACCTTGAGATACTGCAAGATTAGCGTGAGAGAATCAGATGCTGATTCGCAAGCTGCCGCAGGCCAAGTGATTAAGCTGCTTTTGCCGCATAGCGGAGCTCTATGGGAAAGCACGGACTGGGGCTTCCCAGGTGCCGCTATATGTGCCATGGTCAAAACACCCCTTTTGTTTGGGGTTAATAGGGATGGTCATCAACCTCTTAATGGGGGTTTCAATAGGGGTTAATAGAGATTCCTTTTTTCGGGGACCCATGACCATCCCCTATATGACGTGTTTTGACCATGGCACATAGATTGGGTAATGTAGGGGTCGATCAATAGATCTAAAATACTGTGGATGGTTGCGAAATCCGGCACCACCCAAGAAACCCTAGAAGGTTGGATCCACTGTAAATACCTCAGAAGTTGAAAAAATGGTTTCCCTTCTTGTCTCAAGGTGCCAACGGATGTCGTGTCGCCATCCACATGCCCGTTTCCCCGCCCAACGGAAGCTCTGGTCCAATGGCCCGGGTTCCGTATGGTTTGGGGCCCCTTATTCCGGAGGGGTTTCAAGGCTGTCGGGAATATCACCTACAAGAGGCTAAATAATTACTAACACTAATTATAATCACAATCCCCTTGTAAAGTGCTTGAAGGGAAGCCCAACCCACTGTTTTGGATCCATTTAGTTCTTGCATTAGGCTTATTATGATTGCCTCGAGTAAGGGAATCAATCTTCTGGTCCATGTTCAACAGGAATCTGGACAAGGGTCTTCCACCCAAACGTGACGTGTCGAAAGGGCCCTGTGTTAAGTTGACCATGCTTAAGGGGAATCTTGGGGTCTAGGGTGCCATGATTGCCATCTTGTTTTGTCACTCCCCGCACAAAATGGTTGGCTTCCTCTAGATTTCAGGGGGCATTTTTTTTTTAACCATTCACCCTATGGTTTCCTGTTAGAGGGAAACCACTACTAGTTTGTGAATCAACAAGGGGGTGTTTTTGCTCGGTTTAAGCCCCTTGGGCCCCACCCTGCTAGTTTCCCTAAGTACCAACCCAAAAGCAACAGACAAAACCAGCACTTAAGCCTACTGGGGAGGACATGGCGGGGAAGATGCCAGGAAAACAGCCCAGTTTTCCAATGCCCATTCGGGGAACAAGACAGTCAGTTCCTCATTTTGGTTTGTCTTTTTTAAGGGCCCCGCCTAAACTTGCTGTTTTCCACTCAATTCTCTAAATACAACCAGCCCGAAAGGCACGTAACACATGTTTGGATGGCTGCGAATCCTGCACCACCCAAGACACCCGTCAGGAACAGAGAATCCACTGTAAACACAACCGTGAATAGTAACTTCCCCGCTGGTTCCAAGGTGGTGCCGGATTCCAAGACTTAGGAGCTGCCTTTTCAGAACTGTTTAAATTGAAAGCACCCAATCCCTCTTTTTCGCCACCACATGGACCAACACCTGGGAGGTGTCCCATGGTTTTTGGTCAGGTTTTGATTTCGACCTGACAGAAGCCTCCATTTGCTTAAGAGATGTGTCATTTTCTCTCTTTTGGTAAAGGGAAACCACCACTACTGGCAAAGATGTTTTTGTTCCAGGTACCTTAAGCAAATGGAAGGAAGGAACCTGTGGACTTCGGAGGCCGACTCGGAATCTGTGGACCAATGCCCAGACTTTGACTCTTTGGACTTTACCAGTGGGGAACGCCTCAGTCGCGTTTGAGAAGTTTTGGAGCCGTTTTGGTTGTAGTAAGCCGTGCTTGAAGCCGTGTTTGAGAAGTTTTGAAGCCAATGGTTGAATTTAAACCAGGTTTTCAACCACAAACGGAGTGGTCGTTTTCGTTGCTGGTTTGGGGTGCTCCCAACTGGTTTGAAGGCCAAATCAGTCGAACACGACCACTCCATTTGTGCCATGGCAACAAAACATGGTGACGGTAAGGGGTTAGTAGGGGATGGTCATGAAGCCTTCAATAGTCGGTTCAACATACCCCCAGTTCGGTACTTTGAAACTGTGGGGATGACCATTCCCCCAAAAAGCCGTGTTTAGACCCTGGCACACCTGATTGGTTGAATTTGAGTCTCTCTGGTTGAATCTTTGGATGTCAACTTCAAAGGTTCAACCTCTGGAAATCAATCAGTTCCTTCTCTTAGTTTCCATTTTTTTCACCAACCCCAAAAGGTGCCCACAACAAAAACCATAGAACAACCCCACTCCATGTTTTTGTTGTTTTTCCTCGTGTTTTCTCCATTTGTTTGAGTGTTCCCCAGTTTCCAAGGTGTTTATTTCAACTCCCAACGGGGCCACCAAAAAAACGCAACACTGCACTTTGGTTGTTGATGGAAACATTACATTTTTGTACTGTTTGTTGTGTTTAGTGTTTGAATGCGCCACTAAGCTGCTAAGATTTTCGAATTCTACTTCCTACTCAACCTGGAACCAGTGATACCCAACTCACTCTCTTCTTTTTGGGAAAAAGGTAGGATTGCCATCCCTTCCAGCTCGGTGTTCAGTACTCCTCCAAAATTTGGAGGGACCCCTGGAAGGATAACCAACTTTTGTTTAAACCTTCATCCGTTAGTGGCTCCCTGAAAAGGGAAACTACCGTGATCGTGCGTGCGCATAAACAGTTGGGGTGTTTTTTCACAGTTTTAACAGGTGGCTGGCCCAACCCTTCCTGGAAACAAGTAGTGGTGGTTTTCCAGTGTCAAACAAATACACGACTGGGTTCCATTTGCTGTTTCGGTGGAAGAAATCATATTGCTTCCAGTAGTCGTGGTTTCCCTTTACCAACATAGGGAGAACATTAAGAATCATCCTAAGCAAACCCAGATGGGTGTGGCTCAAATTTTTGCAAAACCAGGCTAAAGCAGATTTCTTCCCTAGTGTACCAGAGTTTCTTTTGGTCTCTTCCCTAGTATAACACAAGGGGCAAAATGATTACTAACACTAATTACAATCACAATCCCCCTGTAAAGTGGTTTTAGGGAACCCCTTTCACCCCCTGGTTTAATTATTTAGACCCCTACATTACCTACAACAAAACGTGCCCTTTAAGAAAAACACAAAGGGTTCAATGAACACATGGCGAAGCCATTTAGTGGTTTCCAGCCCTTGTGCGTTTTTGATGTTTTTCAAAGAAGCTGGCTACAGGAAATTCTACAGGAAAACAGCTATTTTAGGGTGGCTTTGGGGCCATTTCCTGTACAATTTCCTGTGGACTCTTTGAGTTTTACCAGACCCCCACATTAGCAGTGGGTGTTTTAATAAGGGACCTCCAGAAAGGGGGTGGACCTTAAACTGCACCAAAGGGTTCCTAAAAAACATCAGCCATTTAGACCCCTACATTCACTGCTCTTGGCAACTCTTTTCAGCTTTTTTCTACTTTTTTGGTTTCCCGTATTACTTTAGTGGGAGTTGCAAACAAAACGAGCCACTTTTTGGGTACCAAGAGTTGGGAAGACTACCAGTGGGTGTTTTACCAGACAGTTTGCAAGATATATGCACATGCACCGACCTGTGCTCTCAAAGCACATGTGCACCAACAGACGCTAACAAACAAACCTCGACAACACTTAAAACCAAACTGAAACATTTTTTGGGGGGACCCCCCTTTTACCAGACCGCACACCGTACCGGGTCCGACTTTCCAGGAGGCGGCAAGCCCCCGGGAAGAGCTGCTGGCCTTCCTGGACGGCGCGGAGAGACGGCGGCGGCGTAAACGGCGCGTTTCGTTTAAACGGGCTGGAGAAACGGCGAAAAAGGAGCAAATGGCGGTTTCCCTTATTCAAACCAGTGGGGATCTCAAGAAGCCGTGTTTGGTTGTAGTTTTGAAGCCGTGTTTGGTTGTAGTTTTGTAGCCAAAGGCTGTAGTTAAGCCATGTTTTTCCACAAATTGCGGAAGGTTAGGTCTTGTTAGGCGCCACCTAAAGTGGTTGGTTTCCACCAGTTTCCCTTTTCAAGCCAACCACAAGGGGTGTCCATCTGTGCCATGGTCAAAACATGGTGATTGTAAGAGGTTAGTAGGGGATGCTCATGAAACCTTTAAGTTTGTGGGTTCCACAAGCCCCCAGTTCGGTACCTCAATGGCTTTTGTAATGGCTTCCTCCATTTGCTGAGCTGGGATGGTTGGTTTTATTCCAACCCCTCCTTGGTTGGTAAAAGGAAACCAGAACACTACTGTTGAACCTATTTTGCATTTTGTCCACTATTCGAAAAAAGCGGCAAGCCCAGATAGTTCCCTCTAGTTTCCTAGATTTGTTTACCAGCCCAAAACACACTCTTCCAAAAACAGACTAAATCACTCTAGTTTCCCTTTAAGGCCCTCAAAAAGGGGCCCCTCCAAAAAGCACACTCCCGGCCATGGTTGTCGCCCTTTTTCCCCCTAACATCCGAGCTCAAATGGGTGGTGCGCAACAGCCCCGCCCCAAAACGGCAATGGCCCCAAAACGGTTGTGACGATCCAGACCATTTGGCTATGGGTCAAGACCAACGGGTAACCCGTTTTGGGGTGTACCATCCATTTAGGCTCCAATTTAGTGGGGATTGGGATGTGAACCATGGGGGTTAACCGGTGAACCATGGGGTTAACCGGGGTTTTGACCCATGGCCATTTGGGTCCCCTACAGTGGTTTCCTATCTCGTTTCCCTAAATAAAACCAACCAGAAAGGGCCCCCCTCAGAAAAAAAACACAAACAGCTCACCCAACTCAAGCGACTTAAAACAACGCATCCAAACGGTACCATTGAAGAGAAAGGGTGCCAACCGAACCGGTTTTGACCCACAGCCATATCCCACCCTGGTACTATAAGGGGCTAAATAATTACAAACATTTCCCCTTAGGAATCTCCTTATAAAGTAGTCTTCGGGAACCCCTTTCACCACCTGTTTCAGATCTATTGAGCGACCCCACCATTACCCCCAGTGAACATCCCAATCCCCACCAAACTAGACTAAAATGGGTGGTGCACCTGACCGCCCCCAACCATCTCTTGGGGGTTACTGGTACCATTGGTTTTGACCCTAACCAAACGATGCCGTTTCCTCCCATCGCCGCGACGAAAACCTTACTACTTCAAATCCAACCTTTTGTCGACTTTTTTGGGGGACCCCGAAGGGAAAACTACTTCAAAGGGGGGCCAAAATGTTTAAACTGTTTTTCCTAGGTTTTTGAAGGAGACAGCTTAAGATGTTGTTTTATGTTCCCCCTTTGTTGGTAAAGGCTTTTTTGGAGGAAACAGAAACCGTTTTTTCGGCGGTCAGGCTACTCCACGGAGTCCAAGGGTCCGCTGCTGGTGGAGCCGATGTTCACAGGCGAGACGAGACGACGAGGATTCGAGGATTTGAGACGACGGCGGTTTACGGGGCGCGAAAAACGGCTGCTGGGGGCGAAACCAGCTTGCGGGGGAAACCATTTTGAGGTGTTTGGTGAGTTGGTTGGTTGGTTGCTTGGTTGCTTGGTTGGTTGGTTGGTTGGTTGGTTGGTTGGTTGGTTGGTTGGTTGGTTGGTTGGTTGGTTGGTTGGTTGGTTGGTTGGTTGGTTGGTTGGTTGGTTGGTTGGTTGGGTTGGTTGGTTGGTTGGTTGGTTGGTTGGTTGGTTGGTTGGTTGGTTGGTTGTTGGTTGGTTGGTTGGTTGGTTGGTTGGTTGGTTGGTTGGTTGGTTGGTTGGTTGGTTGGTTGGTTGGTTGGTTGGTTGGTTGGTTGGTTGGTTGTTATGTTGTTGTTTTAAGGTGTTTGTTTGTTGGTTGGTGGTTATTTTGTTGGCTGGTATTTTTTTGGTGGGGGAGACGTTTTGAGGTGTGAACAATTGTTAGTTGGGCTGTTAGAAAAGTAGGGAATGAGGCAATGACCCTACCATCAACAAAAGGGGATAATATAAGGGGGCTAAATAATTACTAACAATATGTGATTTGCCATGTGATGTTACTGTATGCTGGAGTCTCGCGGTAGCGATGAGCCAGCTTGTTCCCTCAAACATTTGTCGGTACTGACAATGTTTGGCTCAAGTTTGACGAGTTCCGTCACGCCTCGGATGGGCGTCGCCGAACTCCAGCGTCGACCGACGTTGTCTCGGGGGAGAAAGAGACCTCGGGCCGCCGTCAGGTTGGTTGGAACCCTTCGTGCGGTCCATCGTCGACCAAGGTTGTGGGCAACTCTTTTATACTTGTTTTGGTTTACTTGTGGTTGTTTGGTTGCTTGTCCGTTGGAACCCCTGATCTTTGGGACTAGGGATTGGTTAGTGTTTGGAACCTTTCTTTGTGGCTTGTTTTACCCACTTAACCATTTGCCTGGGCACAGGTCCGTGCCCCAATCACAGGTTATCAGCCGTAGGACTCTCCTACGTGCTCGTGACCTTCGACTACGAGATCAATGACGTCTACCCCACGATCGCAACGGAGCGTCGTGGATGAGGAGGCTATCCTAGGAGGCCTCCGCTCAGGTGAGGAACAGCCGGACATCGACTATGAGCACTTCTTCGGTTCGGCTGGGCTTGGTCCTTCAAGTGAAGATCCCGGTAGGGATGATGAGCAGGACCGGGCAGGTACCACGGACGATGGTGATGATCGCATTTTCCGTCGGGGTACCGACGTTGAGGAGGCGCGGAGGACAGTTCCCGGTAGGGACGATCCACCGGCAGGTACGCGGACTCAGGAATGGCTTCGACATCCCGATGGGTCACCGCAGGCTTTCTCACCAGGCGAGTTCCAGGAACCACCAACGCGTAGGGGCGGTAGCCCTGCCGAGGGTTCCCGAGGGGTTTTGAATAGGGCTGTGGGCGGTAGCCCAAGGCCGAATCAAACCCGTGAAGTTCAAAACCCCGGCCAACTTGATGGTATCGAGTTTCAAACTAGGTCTGATGACGAAGTCGCTGGCGGGGACCTTGCTTCCATCTTTTCTTCCACCGTAGGTTGGGGAGGAGCGTGTCCGGCAGAACAGGGTGCCGTTGGGCATCAACTGGAACTTGTAGACAGGTGGGATCACGGTTTTGCTGCGGAGGAGTTTGATGAGGACCGCGAGGCAGCTCGTGCAGATGCTGTCGATGAGGAGGAGAGTAGGGATATTGCCAGGGGAAGAACCAGTCGCGCCGGTAGGCGTGCACGCAACGTTGGTGGGTTGGAGGAATATCGAATGGTGCTAGACGGCTCTGATGAAGGAAATGAGCCGGCCTACGTCGACGTTCGCACCGCCTACATTCCTATGGATCCTACCCCTGCTCGGGATGATCAGAGGGACCTCAACGAGCACAGTGACAGGCGACCTCTTTGGGTCAGGGAGGAGGAGAGTGAGCCGATCCTGCAGGGCCTTAATGATGTCTTGCGGAACCCTGGCCGTACGTTGGGTACACGTCCGTCCGAGGCACCTCCGAGGATCTTTGATGTTCCAAACGTACCTCCGTTTCCCAACATCACGTTCAATAGAGTTCCGGGTAGGCCTGAGGTTCAGGGGAACGAAGCTGGTGATCCCGAAGTAGTCCGGAGAGCTAGGGAGCTGTTGGCTTCTGAACGGTTCGCTAAGATCATGCCCATGAGTGCGGCAGGTCTTCTTGGTAGCCCGTTAGGGCAGGAGATCCATGATGTCGAGCCGCTCAGGTCTAGCAATGAGTTCACTCCTCAATGGGGGGAATCTAGTCGGGAGAGGAGCGCGTCTGCTAAGCGTCCTTCGCCGGTAGGCGCAGCCGAGGAAAGGTCCAAGGCTAGGAGAGCTAGTCCGAGGCCGCCCGGGACGAGTGCTGGAGATGCTGACATGCCTGATGCTGCGGACATCCCCATTCTGTCAACTCCCGAATCCCGCAGGTCTGAAGGTGCCTCTCATTCCGGCGTTAGCCGAAGGAGAGGAGAAAGCCCATTCAGGCGTTCAAGGACATCGGACCGATCGCCACCCCGAATCTCCCATGCCCGCGGTAGCGGAGGGGAAGTTCCTGAAAGGGTCGAGATATCGACGCCTCCCGCAGTCAGGTCCAGGTCATCCAGGGAATCTGAACCAGGACGAGACGATCTTCACGCGGACCTCCAACTGATTGCTGAGAGAGGTGAGGCTTCAGGACCAGTTGTCGCAATGTTGATTGCATTTGCCGACCAAATCCGTTCTTTGGAACAACAGATGGATTTGATGCATGAGTCTTGGCATGAGAAACATAATCACATCATGAACCGCGTCGAGCGTCTCGCTAATGACGTAGGTTCACTCACCGATGCAGGTCGAATGCGGACGGTAGTCCAACAGTTTGCAGGTGAGATGATTCCTGACACCAGGATGATCGTCAGGGCTGCCATTAACGAGCAGAGTGTCATCATTGACGAGAGGATTAACTCTCTTGCTGCGGAATTGCAGAACTCCGTTAGGAGCTTGGAGAACAACACTCGCATCACTAAGGAGCTGATTCATGATAATCACGTGCTCATCCACCGCGGTCAGGTTGCTTTTGAGGACAGAACCCGAATTGAGATCGAGAAGGTGGAACGCCGTATTGCTTCGGTAGAAGCGCAATCAGTGTCCAGCTTTGTCAGGGCCTCTGGTGACGGTAGTCAAATTACCCTTGCGGATGTTTCTGACAGGCTTGATACCGTCGCTCACGAAGGAGAGAACTTTGGCGTTTGGGCTGGTGCGAAGATCAATGAGATCGAAGAGGAGATTAAGAACCTCACGTCCCGAGTTGAAGATGGGGATGAGAGCAGAGGACGCCTCGCGAGTGAAGTGCGGTATCTCCGGTCGGGGATTCCAACGATTGGCACTGGCCTTGCCGATCAGGCTGCAACCCCTACGCAGGCGGTTGCCGCGCCGAGGAATTGGCAGGAAATGTTCAACTCGCTTTACCGAAAGGTTGAGGAACTCGCCTCCCGGGTCAGAGCTGAAGTTCGCAGGAGCGCTCAAAATCAGGAGCATCAAGCAACGATGGATTCTAGGCTGAATGCTTTGACTGCGAGCACGGAAGGAATTGGGAGCGGGCTTAGAGCTCTGAGGGTCCAGGTCAGAAATGCTGTGACTAGTGGGGCTCCTGTTGCCGGCACGGACCATATTCAGAGTGTCGTTAGACGAGAATTGGTCCATTATCGCGAACAGGTTGACGCATGCAATCGGAGACTTGTCACGGTGAGGCAGAACATTCAGGTGTTGACCGATATTAGCAACACCACGCAGGAGAGGATTGCTGGGGTCGAGGCTGTTCTTGAGCAGACCGTTGAAGACACCGTCGCCCGTGGGCAGAGGGCAACAGCTCCGGGTCCAGGGTTTGTTGCGTTCGTCGGCCAACCGCACAGGGTGAGATCTCCAACACCTAATCCTAGTGACCGAGGAGGCTCTCGAGGCAATGCTGCTGGAGGGCAACCCAGGAGTGTTAGCCCAATCAGCAACCGCTCCAGAGGAACGGCCACCCAGAGTATGTCGGCCGGGATCCGAGATGACAGCAGGACAGGCAGGCGCCCTATATCTCCCGGTAGGGATGACTCCATACGCAGGGGATATGGCCACGGTCGGGAAGATGAAAGGACACGTGATCGATCTTTTTCCCCTAATAGGCCTACTGAGACTCAGGTCGAGAGCCGAAGGGCGAGAGAAACCCCCGGTAGGGGAGCTGGACGGGACCCTCAGGTTACCACCAACGCCCGAGCCCGCGATAGCGAAGCCAGGTCCCCGGAGCCCAGTCGAACTGATCCCCGGAGAGCAGATAGAGACACCCGGACCGGTAGGAACCGTGGTGCTGCTTCGCATGAGCGCGAGGACACAGGTGGGCGCGGAGCTGCTGAGGGGCATGGCAGGACTGTTGATCCTGCCCCTGCTGCTGCGGCTGGACCTGGAAGAGAACCTGGGGAAATGTGTGTCAAGGATGACCCAGCTGATCGACGGCATCCTGAAGCTCGTTGTAGCTGTGTTGTCTGTGAGCGCAGGTTCTGTCAGCCATGTATGGGCGATGATGGTCGCTGCATGGATTGCCATCTCTTGATGTTGAGGTGCTGCGTTTGCCGGAAGAGTGCACAGGAAGTGTGCATGTTCTTTTGCTCGAACTGTGAGAGGAACATCTGTGACTCACACACCTTCCTCGGGTACGACAATCGCGAGCGTTGCTCTAGGTGCCACAACATGCATGAGCGAGAACGTGGAAAAGGGGCACCACCTCCTCCTCCTGGTGATGGTAAGGGTGGCGGTGGAGGACCTCCTGGATCAGGTGGAGCTGGCGGGAAAGGATCGCGCGGGCCTCCTGATGATCATGGGCCATACGGTGGAGGAAAGGGACATCCTGGACCTTCTGGTGGCGGTGGCGGAGCTGGTGGCATGTCGAGCGGGGGGTACCCCGGAGGAGGATCGCCTGGTTTCGC